TGGTAAGGAAAAGTTTACTATGATAATTGGAATTGCTTATGATCCAAGTTATCGTGATAGTAATTTTGAAATTCTATATGATTTATTTATTAATTATTTGTCGGATGGTGTTTAGTTATCTTATCGTCTTAGTCTTTACCCCATTATTTCTCGATGCTGAATTACATGTTCCGATCATGAAGATATAGGCATTTCCGGAGTGGATGGCTGAAGATGAAGACACAATAATCCATTTATCATCCGGTAGAACTTTATTTTTCATTTGTCTTGAAAATTATTGAGAGTTTAATAATTATTATGTGTCAATTGCTATCCATATATTAATGCTAGCATTCCGATATCTTCATTTTGAAATACTTTCTGATATGTAACCGTTTGAACCAAATTCCAAAATTTGTATGGAACAACAGAAACAGAGATCTGTTCTTGTCTGCCCTAATTCTTATCATCTCGGGAAGATGTTATAGTTGTTGAAAAGATGCAGAACGAGTAATTGCTCGTTGTCTAAAGGGAAAATGTTCTTTTATGTATGTAGTATTGGTAAATTTAGTTATAGCTGGTGAATTGCCGAAACTTAAGATTAGAGGATGTTATGAAGGTAATATTTCATGAGGAACAACTATAGGTATAGATCAAACCAGAAATATTAGCGCATTTGGACGGAATCTGGACGGAAATGGTATAATATTAATAATACATAATATTATAACAAAATTTTAATTCTCCTTTTTTATTTTTAATTTTTTTTTTTTTTAAAAAAACAAGACAAGATTAATTTTTAAACTAAGGATGACTATATTTCTCTTGGAATTGTCTTTGCGATGTGGTTCATAATTGTGCATTGTTATATATGCATTTTCATTATATAATTTTTTGGATTTGACAAATTTTAAATTGTTCTAATATAGGTTCATCTTTTTAAACCCTAGGTGCGTTCAAACTCGCTTCAGCGCATTCACCAAATAACCCTTTTGATTTTGTTAGTTCAACTATTAAATAAACATTATACCGAAATAAAATGAACGATTTAAGATGGTAGAATAATATAATTAGAAAATAAAAGTTTAGATTTTTTTTTTTATTTTGATAAAAACACTTGGTCTATATATAAAATTCTCTATACATATTAACTATTATTAAGATTGAGTAAATATTCTAATTTTTCATAATTAATACTAACGCGAATTTTTTTTGTTAAAAAAATGGTTAAAAACAAATTGAAATATGTAAAAGTAGATTTAGATTAAACTTAGATTCTTTAAAAAAGCCACCGAATCGCTTGATTCGATTGCATAGTACGTCGACGTTTAAAAGACACCGAATCACTTGATTCGCATTGCAGTATATGTCGTTAAAATCCATGTCGACGTTTAAAAGCAACCGAATCGCTTGATTCAACTGCAAAATAAGTCGTTAAAATCCATATCGACGTTTAATAGCCACCGAATCGCTTGATTCAACTTCAGAGTATGTCCATGTCGACGCTTTTATTCTTTAAAGGCGACCGAATCACTTGATTCGATCGCAGAATAAGTCGTTACCACCTTCAATTGCTTTAATTCGCTTTCTTGTGGTGCAGCAGTCGCGAAGTCGAATTGCGCCATCGTATTTTGTTGTCTCAACATAGTGGATTTGATGTTGAGGATTGTGTATTTAAAACACGTTGTCGTCGTTAAACTCTGAATTGTAAAATTCACAATTGTAGTTGTCATCGTTTTTTTTCATATAAATATATAAAGTAAAAATAATTTTTTGTAGATTTATACGTTTTTTTTTTTTGAATGAAAAAATTTTTTTTTCCGGCAGTTTCACCCCTTTCAAATTAAAATCAAATATTCTTTTTTTATGACGTAACTAAACGTATATTTCAGTCACGTGCCTCATATAATAATTTTAAATCGACCCTCTATTTACGAGTATAAATTTAATCAACCCAAGACTCAACTCCCTAGTTCGGTAAAGAAAATGAAGCAATATGTAAGTATTTATTTAAAGCTTATTCGTTATCATATATTAATTATTAAATTTTTCTACGCGTTATTCTATAAATACAGTTAACTAAAGGGATTCAATGTTATGTAGATGAATCAATAATTTTATTGGAATTCCCTCTTATAATTATTTTTTATTCTTCACAAAAAGGTCCCTCTTGTCCGAACGCATATTAAATTATTAAATTAATACTGGGCGCGACGTTAACGAAAAATTGATAACTTTTTATTTATCCTCAGAAATACTTTATTTAATCACGCAATCAGAACCTTGATTTAAAACATCTCCTTCTTTCACTATTATTCTATGTACACTTAAATTTACATACATGTCAAAATATCCGTTCACTGATAATGCATATTCAAGAAGCAGCCGAAGATGATAGTTATAACAAAAAAAGGATGAGATACTGTATCATAGGTGATTTTTTTTTTTAACTACATTGGTGGAATTGAGTGGGTATGTATTAGATTTAAAATATATTGTTTGTTTAAACTTTGATTATTTATGAATAACATTTTTATTTTAAAAAATTTTTTTGCATGCTGTATCAATAATGCATTCTTGGGTACATCATGATGAAATCACAGAGTTTATGATGTAAAAAAAAATTGTTAAAAACAAAAGCTAAAGTGCATACCGAAAAACCCGTCATATTATCCCCATTTTTGATTACATATCTTAACACGATTCGCCAATACGGAATCGCAGTTTAGGAACCACAACAACAGTCAATAAAATGATGTTGGAAGATATAGAACCGATGTATACATGTCGGTCGGAGGTTAGTGATCATTTTATCGTCCAGCTATCTATTTTGTCAATGTATTAAGCGATCGAGCCTTGATCTCTCTAACTTCTTTGTTCAAAATAGCTTCCGATGATAATTTCTCTCACGGGGAACTAATGTTTCGGGCAAAACCCAAATTTGGAAATATTTTGAGTTTGGGCAGTTTAGGACAAATGGCGTAAC